ATGTAATGATATTGGACAACTTTGATTAATAACTTTTTCTCACTTTGTTTGTATTATAGAAAGGATAGGCCAGAACTACTGACTATAAAGCTTGAAAAAAAATGTTCTTAATTGATTAGATGTCTAATGGCAGCATTTTACATACAGTACTGTTGAGTAATAAAGATAATGATAATGATAAATGCAATAAATATATATTATTATGAATCATTAGTATTAATCTTTTTTATTATCATTATTAGTAGTAGTATTTGTATTATTAGGAGTAGCATTAATATTGTTACTTTTGTATTTACTTTTGTTATTATTATTTTGTAAGACCCTTATTGATTAAGTTACTTTCATTATTGCTTTTATTTTGTTATTATTAATAGTAATTCAAATTTCTGTAACTTTCAATTACAGGCTACAGGCTATATTGATAGAAGTTGAATTCAATTGTTTATGCTGGGTAGCATCTATTCTTGTAATGACACATCAAGCCCATGTGCCAAGTGACATGTATCCATGCCTTTGCATGATTATGGATGTTAAACAATTAGCTGCTTGTTTTGCCCTCCCAAGTAGGCTTAAAGTTTATTTTTAGTTTCTTTCATTGAAAGATCATATGTGCCACTGACAAAACTGTAGACAGCAGTGAAAATGTTTCCCATGCTTCTGATTTATCATTTGCACAAGAGCTATCATCATAGGGTTAACAATGTCAGGCATGGATATGAAATGTGAATTATTATATACTAGCTAAGATTTAAAAATCTGGCCATTGATAATCCGGTTCTTTCAGATTTCCGGCATTGATTTTGAAGCATATTTTCAAAATGACTGGGTTAGCGCACTATAGTTCTCTGGAATTGCTGTTTGGTATTTTTTTCTTTTTATCAATTTTTCTTGCTGATTTTGATGAAACTTGCACCCTTCTATTTAGACCTTTGCTTGATCTCTGAGGTCAACTTTTTTTCAAAATCGCCCCAAAAATTTTTGAGTTAGAATAAAAAACTGAAAAAATGCCAAGTTCCTGTTTTAAAATTGACAAAAGAGCAAAAACTATATCAAATCTTGAAAAAATTATGCATGCATTCTGATATGATTTTTTAGCAAATTCATCCTAAATCTAGTGCTTGTTCCATGCACTTTTTCCAATTTTGACTATTTTCTTGTGAATATTTGACATAAACAACTTTTAGAAGAAAAAAAGTTATTATTTTACACATGTCATTTTTACAAGGAACACAGGAAAAAATTACAAACACAAAATGGAACAAGCATTAGATTTATCATTTAACTACAAAATGAGCCATAAAACATTTATTTTGGACTAAAATTCCATGTGCTAGAGTTTTTGAAGTCTACAAAAGTATTTTTCGAGATATCAGCATTTTTGTTTTTCGTATATTTTCATGTTTTGGTATTTAATAAATTAAGCATAAGAATAATCTTCCTATAACATAATCCTCTATCATTTACCTGCATTTCGAAGTATTGCGGAAATTCCTAGTAAGTAATGGTATCTCACCAAGCGATATTTATTATAGTAGGGTCACAGTGTTTTGGGATGTGTGTAGGCCTACATTGACCATTTATGGAAATTTCTCTAAATCCCCTAAAATAACACAGGCATTCTGATTTTATTTTCGAACAGAAAAACCTAGTGCTTGTGTTAAGCACTTTTTTTAATTATGACTTAGTTTTTGGTTTGTGAATATTTTGCATAGATGACTTTTAGAAAAATAAAAATGACTGTTTCATATTTATGTCACTTTTACAAGAAGCACAGGATAAAATTGCAAAAATAAGATGGAACAATCACTAGATTTATCATTCAGCTATGAAATGAGCCATAAGATGTTTATTTCGGACTAAAATTGGGTGTGTTACAGCTTTTGAAGCCTACAAAGGGTCACAGTTGAGTTGGGGTATTTCTCAGTGTATATTGACCAATTTTAAAAAATTCTCCCCCCCCAAAAAAAGAAAGAAAGAAAAAAACAGCCATTTCATATTTGAATTGAACTATGTTGCATCGAATGCATGGTGGATGTACATTTTTCAAATTCTACCCCCCCCCCTTTTTGTGTGTGTGTGTGTGTGTGTGTGTGTGTGTGTGTGTGTGTGTGTGTGTGTGTGTGTGTGTGTGTGTGTGTGTGAGAATATTTCACGCAGGTGACTTTTTAAACACCATAACAGGGGCCATTTTTCTGGATGATACATTTATAAAAAGCACATTAAAATATTGCAAATCCTTATTGCATCATGTGATAGATCTACTATTCAGCTACAAAATAAGCCATATTACGTTCATTTTGTACTGAAGATGTGTGTGCTTCACATAAAAGTGTAGAGTACAGAAATATCACAATTTTTTTTCCTCTTAATTTTTTTTACATTGTGGATAACAAATCATATATGAAATAGTTGTATAATATATAATTATCTATTGTTTTCCATTTTTTTTGCTCTAATGGGGTTTTACAATATATAATACTGGTCTGAAAATGAACGTCCACCATGCCAGCAAATATCACACTCGCAGGCCAGGATGCGACAGAATGGGCTGTGCGCACATGTTTTTGAGGTAACGTTCCCAGGCTTCGTAACTATACAAGATGAAACACCCACCTTTGAGATAGATATTAATAAATCATGATTTTTATATTGTTCTAATTATTATTATTATTATTATTATGATGATGATGATTATGATAATGATTATAGTTATTATGATTATAATTATCATTATTATTTTTATCATTATTTTTGTAATTATTATAATGATTATTATTATTATTATTACTATTGTTATTATTATAAGTTTGCTGATGCATAGGGCGAGTGTGCATCATCTTGGTATCTAAATGGCAGCCCTCTGACTGAGACTTAAAAAGGAAACAAGATTTATATTTGGAAATTAAACCTCAGTTTTATTTTTCCATTGTGATATATAGATCTGGGAGGCAGGGTTTAGAGTGAGGTGGTGTCCATGAAGAGGTTCGTTGCATCACTTCTCAAAAAATAGATAAATAAATAAATTAAAAAAAATAATAATAAAAAATAAATCTCTACCTATCAACCCACCCTCAAAGGGAGTATGTTACCTGAAACAAAGTTTTTTTTTTTTTTTTTTTTTTTTTTTTTTTTTTTTTTTTTTTTTACTTGGACTTATCATTTTTATTATTATTTTTATTGTTACAGTTATTGTTATCATCATCAACATCATAACCACCACCACCACTATCATCACCAACATCATAATTTTTATTGTTTTTAGCATCCAAAAGTTTAAATGTGTCTATTACTATTCACAAAAATAATGAAGTTAGCGAGATGTTGATTTCATTAGGTGGTAATCTTTCAAATGTGTTTATATCTTTAGCTTTTTCAAAATATATTTTGCAAGCCATAGTGTACAAAAGCCTTGGGGGTAAGCTCGAATTCCAGATTTAGGTCCCTATCTGTTGTTGACACTTTCTTGATGGTTCCTGTTTTTAGCCATATAAACAGAAAAAACAAATATAATTGGGAATGAAAAAATAAAACTGGGTGTTCTAAAAAAAAATTAAATCTGCATGTTTTAAGGTTAGATTTTTTTTTATTACAAGAATAAAATGTAATAGAAATACACAGTGATATATAATTTAGCAGAAATATTTACCAGAGAACAAGGTCAGATATAACTCTTTGATATAATGATTGTTTTTTGTTTATAACACTGTACATTATGCAGAATGAGTCTTATCATAGATGCAAGAAGCTTTGTTGAGAATGACAATGAAGGAAACAAGATATTAGCTTTTTTTTTTTTTTTTACCTTCATGGTATGTTTGTCTTATTTATAGAACACTACATCAAAATGTATTGCAGATTAACATACATTCATACATTTTGAATATTCTATTAGCAGATGATTTGCTAAATAAATAGGAAATTATTGCAGCCTTAGAAATGCACTCATGTGATAAATGAAAATATATTGAAATGAATTCAAAATTAGGTATTGCTGAGGGCAGCCTTGTTATGTGTGGGGAAGAGTTACCGTGTATGTTAATTTGAATGTGGATCATTGGGTAGGTGCATAGTAGTGATGTGGTTGTAATTGCGGATGTCTGTAGATGATGCTGAAATGGTGGAAAAATTTAAGATAGTCAATAGGACAGTATTCAAGTACAGTATGTATTATTTATTTCTTTGATTTTGTTAACCAGCAGAAATACATTTTCATAAACCTTCACTTGATATGTTTGTTGTAACTGTGCACACAGTAGTTTCAGGTACAATATAAATGCTTTTCCTGCATAAGTAATACACTAATGAACTGATTGCAAGACTATAAGATGGGCGTCCTCAACAGGTAGAACTGGAGATGGGTGGATATCCAAGGCATGGATGGAGAGGACCTCAGGAGGTTAACAAGAACCACACTCCGACTAGCAAGATGTACCACTGCGCTTTCTGTGCCTACTCTACTGTACTCAAGTCCAATCTCAATAGACATGCAAGGATTCATACTGGGGAAAAACCTTACTCATGTCCTCATTGTAGTTATCAGACGACAAGTAAAGACAATTTGATGAAGAGACATGTGCTCACCCACACTGGTGAAAAACCATTTGCATGCCCATATTGCCCTTATCGAGCAAGGCAAAAAATTCACCTTTCTGCACATATGAAAAGTCACAGCAATTGCAGTGGGAAGGACATATAAAGCTAGACTGATATTTTTTTATGCTGGTTTTGCATCCATGGTGAAAGAAACTTCTAGTATGAATTATTGTACATCTCGTATACATTTTCAGGGAGTTGAAGTTTTTGTTCTTTATTTCTTTAAATTCAAAAATTTATATACTTGTATTGGAGAAGAAAAGATATGAGGTTCATTTTATTTTAAATATCAAAAGTTATTTGACTAAGTTTCCACTTCTTAACTGTATACTTTTGTTTGTCATAAGCTTTTACTCTTTTGTCCTGAACACATGCATTATCAATATCAAAAAGGATTAAGTGAATAG